CCTTATTTATAGTGAATATTATGCATAGTTACCATTGATTTTTGAGGCGATTGGATAAGCCATGACTGATTAATGAAGACCTATAATGAGCAATGTTTATTCGACAGATCTTTCTCAGTTTCCCAAAGGAAAATTGAATGCTCTTGCTGGATGCGATATCATACTGATATTGGTTTTGAATTTTTGAGCCAATTAAATTAAAGAATCATTCATCAACAATCAGAGCCTTTAATTTTCCAATTTTCCTGAAAAATAAAATTGGATACTACTCATATTCAAGGATGTGATTCAGGACACAGTTTCTATAAGCTTGTTAACAATAAGAACAATTTTTTTACAAAGGAATATTTAGCAAGTAGGAGTATTTACAAAGGATTATTAGCAAAAAGAAATATTAGGACAAGGACAATTATAAATATCTCCTTATCAGGGATTCTAGAATTATGCGCTGGTGCAGATCCGCATAATCAGCCATTCTCCGCACAATCCCGCATTTGTCAAAAAATCAATAATGTTATCTATTTTACGTCTGGCTTGAGTATTGTTTTTTCCCTTTTTTATCGTCATACAAAGTACTAAAGTATCATTTTTTAACAAAACAACGCCATAYGTGCGCGCGACGCCATTTTGTTTTTATGACATTCATTTAGTGATGGGTTTCCTGTGGCTCGGCCCAGGTTCCACAGCCATTGGCGGTTTCCAAGATGGCGTACGTTTACAAGAATTGTTCTCTCTTTTGGCCATATACTTATGTTTAAATGGAAAAGATCATGTATCTATAATGCTTAATATTCCATTCTTTTACAAAACGACACAAAATAACTGAGTTTCCTAATCCGAATTAGTCATATTTTAGGTTTTAAGCGATGACGTCATCGCGCATAATTTCGTGCATAATCCCACATAATTTTGATTTTTTTCGCACATAATTCCAGAATCCCTGCCTTATTATTAATAAATATTTGTGAAGTCAGTCCAACTCAAATCTTTTCAAAATCCTCAGCAAAAGTGACAGATGTTGGGCACTGTGCAGCTATACCATTTTTAAGGGAATTGTTTTCATATCTAATGAACCTTTAAACATACTAAAGGCCGTGACACACTAGCCTTTTTTTCATCCAACTTGTGTCAAAAAAATGTCGTAAGTTGCACGAGCGTTTTTTATGTGTGACACCCCCTCGTGCAACTTGAACATTTCATTTTTTGTTGAGAGAAAAGTAGAACTGGCTTCTACTTTTTTCAACATTTCTCGCGTTGTGGTTTCCTAAGCTTCTCTCGTGTTCTCCCCACATCCCGCGTTTTTATCATAGTATAATACACGGAAAACTTTTTTTTATTCCTTAATTTTTGCGCGACACAAGTTGCAGGAAAAAAAAACGCTAGTGTGACACAGCCTTAACAATGAAACTTAATGTATAAATATATTTTCAGTTAAGAAAGGAAAAAGTAGATCTTGAGAACACTCTTGAACAAGAACAAGAACTGCTGGTCAATAGACTTTGGAAGAGAATGGACAGACTGGAGGCTGAAAAAAGGTGCACTTCCTGTCCATGACTGAAGGGCATTGTTGAGTGACATACACACTGTGCACTTGTCAATTTGTTTAATAGAGTACAAACACTAAAACTGTGCAACATAAATACAGCTAAATACTGCTAAATTATGCTAATTCTATTTTCTATTATTTAACTAACACTATTTTTTAGTAAATAGTGGTAAGTGTTGCACACATTTAATGCTTGTACTCTTCCCTAGCAAAATTTAAATAACAGTTAAATCAAAGAGTTCATTATACAGTTGCATGAAATATAAACTATTAAATATTGCTTCTTTTACACGATTTTTTTGGCAGTAGTTTGTAAAAAATAACAATATGACACTTTGATAAGAAAATTAAGCCTTACTGTTTCACTATAATTTTGTTTAAAAATTTTTTGCAATTTTTTGCAAAACTAGAGCTAAGCGGCAGAGTATAAAATCAAAGGTTGTTCCCCACATATCTTCCACTTTCTTACCATGTCTTGTTATAAATTGCCTTCTGTTTATAACCTCCTGTGTTCCCCTCAATGGTGATCAAGGGTTGAGTCAAAGAATCCTTAGGAAAAAAACAAACAAACAAGCAAAAAACTTATCACTAGAAATGTCTAACAAAGCATAATAAGAGCAGATTTCATATGAGTGGGAAACGGACGGTACTGTACTGTGACCGTAATCGTACTGTAACCAAATTCTAGTGTCTCATTGGTTCACCAAAATTGTGCAGGCCAGGTCCGGTAACTGTGCGGTAACCGTGTGGGAACGATGTCCCACTCATATGAAATCTGCTTTATGATTTCCTTAAGAATGTTACAAGAAAAGTTAGAAGAACCCATATCAGAACCTCCATCTCCACGGCAATTCACTGAAGCTGAAGATACAGCAGGGGGCATTGCAACACACATCACATCTCTACGAGAAGAAATAAGAAGACTACGACTGCAGCTTGCAAAATCCGAGGCAGACTGTAAGTAAAATCGCAAAAAAATCCTGGAAAACTCCTTGAACCTAATGAAATTGACATGAAGTTGCATGTTGATTGAAATGTGGCTAATTTTGAAATCGCCACTTGTAACATCACAAAACATCAAAAAAATACTTCAAAAGTAGTCCTTGAAAGTCGCACTTTTGTGCTTAAAAAGTACTTGAAAAAAGTCCTGGAATTTTGTGGTGAAATTATATCACAAGACTGAAAATGAAATTGCCGAGTTTTTGGCCAAGGCAGTATATATTATAAATAACCCACATACAATGCCATTCTCAACTTACTCATACAATTTATTGCTATATTTCAGATTGCGAGAAGATGCARGCTTATGCCAAAGAGGAAAGGCAAACAAAGGAGGAAAACATCAGATTACAGAGAAAATTGCTGAGAGAAATGGAGAGAAGAGAGGCCTTAAGTAGACAGCTGTCAGAGAGYGAGTCCAGTCTTGAAATGGATGATGAAAGGTGATTGATTGTTAATTGTTATTCTGAATAATCACTAAATTGTTAATTTCATTGCTACACAGTATATTTACGTCTTGTAAAAAATGGGCAGTGTCTCAATGAGTRAATATGGTACTTAAAGACTGCCATCAATACTGCTCGTAAGGTTCCTTCAAAAAAACATAGAGCAAAATGAGAATTAATACACTCAGTAGAAAAATTTAGCTCAACTAATAAAAGTTCACAACATAATTATGGTGCAGGGTTTGGTTATATCAAAGTAATTTATGTCTCCATAGATTTTGATTGATTTTATCAGCTAGATATAGAGGATATTATATGGGAGCGCAGGGATACGAATTTTATCTTCAAATTCACCATGTAATATTTTGTTTATTAGTGGTGTAATGATGCATCGACATATTGAATAATTGCGATGTGTGGAAAAATACATGTACTCCCTAACATTATTGCAAATAATGTTATTGTTATTTGTTGTAGACATTTCAATGAAATGACTTCACATGGACAGGCTAATACAAGTGGCTCATCAAGCCGTGAGCGTACCATTTCAAGTCCTGTTCCTCTAACAACTGGTGAGTTAACTTAAGGTGAAAGTACTGTGAGTCAGAGTTGTTTAAGAGCACAAACAATTTTATTAGCACCACCAGTGTATTTGTGGAGTTTGGTACCCCAAAAATAAATGATTGTAAAATATATCAGAGACCTTTCAGGGAAGTGTTACCCAGGGGGGTGCACTTATRGGGGCCTACCTTTAGAGACACCTGCCAATGTGTGTTGTGGGATGACTAGAAGGGTGTCCATGCACCCAATGCACCCCCCTGGATCCCACCATAAACCAGAATCTTAATAAAGTTAGTGWTAAACAATATATCATTTGTGTATATCTGTATTCTATAGGTTATGGTTTCACCCCACCATCACCACACATGAGCCGATATTCATCTACTGGAAGTCTAACTAGTTCATTACCAAGTGGCTCATCACCCCCCACCCATCATGTACCAACCAGCCATGTAAGTACAGGAAGTGGATCATAAATAGTAATCACAGTTAATACTACATAGTACCAAATTCGTGATTGGGATACCTGTGTTCAAGTGTCAAGTTGCACTGGACACCCAGCCAGTCAAACTAACTCAATACATACTGCCTAATCCCTGGAACTTAGACGTGCAGTTAGAAAGGCACTTCAGAGTAATGAAATAATAAAAGTTAAGGAAASGAAACGTATAAGTAGATTATTTAATTCGCGATGTTTCGGGGTCATCGTRACTCCATTATCAAGTGATAAAAGTGAATGATAATTACAAATATATATATATATATATAGGAACAAGATTAGCATAATGTAATGTTATAAAAAACAATTGTTAAATAACATTTTCATAACATTACATTATGCTAATCTTGTTCCTATATATATTTGTAATTATCATTCACTTTTATCACTTGATAATGGAGTCACGATGACCCCTAAACGTCGTGAATTAAATAATCTACTTAAATACATTTCGTTTCCTTAACTTWTATTATYACATGTTTTTCAAACAACTACTTAWCAAGAGTAATGAAAAATCACCAAAAAAATATTGAAATGATACTTTATTTTTTGTGTGTGTTTGCAGAGGCGGATGAGCCCCGGAGGCCCAAGCACTGTGATAAGGCCCTCATCGGGATCATAGTTCATTGAGCATTGCCATGGTTACCTGTGATGTTGAAGTATGATTGGTTGATAAGAGGTTATGTTTGCTGATGTATCCATGTGAGTCTGATCTCCCAGAAAACACAAGCCATAAACTATTTGTGACAAGAAAACTTTTAAAATGTGTAAGCATACAGGTTATTTCTGCAAGGTTGACCACTTGAAAATATATCCTGCTTTTTTTCTGAGAAGGGTATTGGCCTTTCTAGAATTCCAAAATTTTTGCTTATCAGTTACCATTATCCATGAAATAAACAATAATTACCTTTTAAACTAACTTTTACTCAATAATAAGTTTTCAAAAGTGACTAGTATTAGGTATTTCATGGATAATAATTATTAATAATTATTATATATTATTATCAATTGATAATAATTATTATAAGATAAACATATTTTATGGACAAGTCTACATTTCCAGCTCTTCAGTTAGAAGGAACGTATCAACAGAAACCTACAAGGGACTTGAAACGTGTAGTGCCCGTATATTTCTCTAGTACCAAGCGTCGGAATATTCAAAGCTCATTAAAAATTCGAAAACGAACGTTATGACCATATTTGGAAAATTCKGCCGTTGGAAAAGAGATTTAAGGCCCGTTTTGGTTGGCTACATGTATAGGGTAAATTGAATTGTTCCAAATAAGGAAATGAGATGCAAATTAGATTTGAATATTCCAACAGATGGCACGGCGTTACACGTTTCAAGTCCCTTATAGGTTTCTGGTATCAGTCAATACACCCTAATACCAATAATGGCGCCATCTTGAATTCTATTGTTTTAAGTATTAATTCAGTGAGAAACTATGGTATGCCCAGGGAACACTAAATGATGAAATCTGTGAARCAGCTTTTTTTGATCCCTATACAGTGCAAAGAAATAACCATGACTATCGACACTGCAAAATGTTAGTTCCCCTGGCATTATCTGACTGGATGCATAAAGGTGGCCTTTTTAAACGGAGATYCTGTTGCATATTATAATATGTTCTGTAATATTGATCATTTTCATGTTGAAAATACCTTGGACATGGCAAATTRGCCTCCATTACATCCTTCTCCCTTTTGAGGCTCTGTGTCTTCAAAAAGCACAGGAAGCCCAAAAGGTAACAGCTGTGACAGAGTGCGGAGTGTGCCTCAGTGATACCCCTACTCTCCCCTCCCAGACTCAGTGGAAATGTCGTTAAGAAGCTATTGAAAGTCAGCATCGTKAGGTTATTTGATAGATTTGCGGAGTGAGTAAGCACAGTAAAGTGTTTTATGAAGCATWCTTAAGATAAGGATACTAGAAAAGACATTTTCTGAAATACAAAAGYATGTTGCATTGTRGTCTAGCTYCAGTACAAACAACACCATATCTGACTATATAAACAAAAGATGTTTGTACCGAATCTATAAYATARTGGAATGGMAACGCTATTTCAGAGAAGGTCTGTGTCGCTTTGTAGTAGGGACAGCTTTTTTTCTTCAACTGAGGTTTTATAAGGCCGCAAAAAGAGAGAGTTATCGCTATAACATAGGGACTCCATCCCTTAAGCTTGAGCAAACGACGAATGTTAATACTGACTCCAATTTACAGTTCGAAGTGGCATCTTGAAAGGTACCGAGCCTTTGCACCAAAGCGAGACAGGAGTTGAGCCTGCAGTGATAGATACCTTGTGTTCACACCTAAGACAATTATTCACAGGTATCTAACATTGCAAGTTTCACTTCTGTCTCGCTTTGATGCAAAGGTTCGTATACCTTTCAAGATGGTGCTTGAACTCAAATGTAGTATTACTTCTCGTTCTTGAGTTTCAAGAACTCGTAAAAACTAAAGCAAGTGTTTAATTAGCAAGTGATGCTAAGAGTGTTGATATTGATTGATTGATAAACGACCGTTTGCGTTTGTATACCAAAGAAATACTTACAAAAATAGCCAATGGCCGGCGAGTTAAAGACTCATCACCAACCGTCATGCCTTTCGAGCCTTTATGTTTGAAAATAATAAAGGCATCGTAATATATAAAAACGAYAAATACTGTTTATTATCCCGTTTTGGTCTCTGGAAATATAAGTATTGAAAGGCTCGATCTTTAAAAAAAAATCGATGGATTGAAGCACAAACATTGCGTYACCCTATTTGTGTCTAAAAAATCGATAAAAACGACCGTTAGGTGATGGCCTTTGAAGAAATTTTAGTAGACGTGAGATTGATCAGGTTTTAACAACCTGGAAAAAGAAAAAAAAAAAAGAAAGAAAGAAAAGAGGTTCTTAATCTTTTCTTTCATTAATTTTAGTAGCAGTACTTTTATCTCATTGAGCCGGAGAACGCCAAACATTATACACCCTTTTAATAAGTCCCGAGGTATTGTTTTTTCTCCGCACTTGACGTCAAATTTATTCTTTTGAAATTTTTGCAATACAGAAGGAATTCAAAAGAATAAATTTGACGTCAAGTGCGGAGAACGTAATAACTCGGGACTTATTAAAAGGGTGTATATGGTTGACGTTTTTCGCAATGCTTTTGATTTTCTTCCGGTTATGTTTTTTTGGTAGCCAAACATACTGTGTTTCGTGTCATTTGGTAAATATACGCAAACGAGTCCATTAACTTGCCTCCTCCGCTGACATCTTTTTTCAGTTTTTTATATATTTCGGGTTCGCTGTGAAAAAAATTGGGAAGAGAGGAAACTGGTGGATTTATCCTGTAATTATCCGGGGTGACCTACGTAGCACGCAGTTGATGTAATGTATTCATAAAATGTATTGTATTCCATTGTTTCTCGTTCTATTGTATTATGTGTTTTGTATTATATCTTTATGAATATATTACATCAACTGAGTGCTACGTAGATTCTTCCGTAATTATCCTGCTTTGTCACTAGTCCCTCTCTTAMTGATCTAACACAGGAAGCCCGTTATTTTAAGAAAGGAAAGACATGCCTTCGGAGGRGGCTATCTATTAACATATGAAGAAATATTTAAAGTATCAAAAACTAAATAAAAG